TGTCTTCACTGTTGGTGCGCCCGAAGAGCTGCAGCATGAAACGTGCGTTCAGAGCCTGTTTGTGACTCGTAAATGCTTCTGGGTGTCATAAACTGTTTGTTTCACCAAGAAGACATTTGTTTTTATCGAACCCAAGGCAACGATAGACACCTAGAGATTGGACGAGCAAAAATATCGGAAACTTTTAACCCGCTGAAGGTTTCAGATGTTTTTTAAGGGGGAAGAAGTAAAAAAGAAAATAAAGTCTCCCCCCCCCGAACAAAAATTCTTACGTCTTCAGCTTTCACAGTTCAGAATCCGCTTCTTTCACTTAGTGGCGTCGCACGTGACGTGTCACTTCCAGCATTGCTCACGTCGACCGCCGAGCTCGTTAGTCACATGGGTTGCCAGGTTTTGTCCATAGACTGGATGTGTTCCTTGGCTTTCATCCTCAGCGCAGCAATACTGGAGCTGCGCTGGTCCACATCCTCCAAAGGGTACTTTTCAGGGTATGGTGCTGGACACTGATAAGGAGGAGGAGCCATGCTCTGCATCCCCTGACCCATGGACGGATGGGGATGAGTGTGAGGGTGTGGATGAGGACCGTGAGGAGCGTGAGGAGCGTGGGGGGTGGAGTTGAGGAAATGGTGGCTTGGGTAGCTGGGCTGGAGGCCTTGAGCTGGACCCATGAAGCCTGGGATACTGTGCACAGGTGTAGCACTGGACAGGGGAGAGGTCAGCCAGGGTTCCAAGGGGAGGGAGTTGGTCATTGGACCCATGCTGGTGTGAACCGGTGCCGGACGGTTGAAAGAGAGCATGGGTGAATCGTGGAGCTTCATGGTGCTGGCGTCCATTTTTTCCTGCCGGCGCCATTTAGCTCTGCGGTTCTGAAACCAGACCTGGAAGAAAATGACAGAAAAATAAGTGTAAATATGATGGAGTGCAGAGTTTTTCATTCTGGGTACGGAAATATACTCGAATATACTCGACAACACTGGGGGAGTTTTTTAAATGAAGCAGTCTTTCACGTAGTGTGAATGTGAGATTTTATTCCAGAATAATGAGAATATCTAAAAAAAAACCCAAAAGCACGACAGAAAAGTGCTTCTTAGCAATCTCTGAAATGCCTTTAATGCAGTTACCTGAACTCGGACTTCGGGGAGGTTCACCTTCATGGCGAGCTCCTCGCGGCTGTACACGTCTGGGTAATGGGACTTTTCAAAGGCACGCTCCAGCTCGTGCAGCTGGTAGGTGGTGAAGGTGGTGCGGTTGCGCCTGTGTTTCTTCTTGGGCTGCTCATCCTTGCTTGGGTCCGGAGACTTGCCTTCATCGCTCTCTATACTCTTCCTCAGCTCGCTCAGTTCCTGGTCACATTTGTTTGCAAATAAGCCGGAGTCTGTGGAAGAGCCCGGGAAAAAATATTGTGAGTTTTTATTTCCTCCACATGCTTTTTGACTGGACTAAGTGAATGAGAACTACAGTTTAGAGAGAAATACAAATGGAGAATGCAGTTTCCCACTTTCCAGTAGAGCAAACATCAGTTTGACACCTGCAACAATAGGCCACTGTAGGTCAGTGAAGCAAGCAATTCCCTGTACCTCAATGAAGCTCCAAAACATTCCTAATCGGATTTAGGAAGCTTTTTCCAGTGTTTCCTTTTCTTCAAAGTTAAAAGGTCTTTAAAAAGAAATTTGAAAACCACTGTTTCTATCACCACGCTCAACAGCCACTCTTAGTTTGTTACCATTTTTGGCTAAGCTCAGATCTGAAAGAATCTATTTCCCCCGTGCAGGAGAGCCAAAGCACGGAAACGTCCCACGTTCTGTCCGTCTTTAGGATCACAGGTTACTGACAAGCTGGTGTTTACAGACACTACAAAGCTTTCACTGGCACTGTCCCTCCTCATAACCCTCCCCGTCAAACGATTCCTCTCTCAATTCTTCTTCCTCAGCTCTATTTCTAATCGAATCAACGTGCATATTCATCGACAGTGTACAGAAACATGGGAGAGGCCACAGGGGAAACAGGGAGGTGTATCCAGACCAGCCAGCAAACTGATTTAGCTAAACAAAGTACAGAGATGATGGTCCGGGAATAAAATAATCTACTCGAGTTAAGAGCTAATAAGTGCCAAGCTTGGATCTGACTCAAAGACTTAATTTCATTCAGGATGTTAGATAAGTTGCAAATCACAGAAAGTGGGTTAAGCTGATTTTAATTAAGGGCTAATTTTGTATTAAGGTAAACCATAGAAGCATCAGTATCATCAGCATCTCTTACACCAACTAACATATAGTGAGACGAGCAAAAATCTCGGTTTTTTTATGAGCTTTTAAAGCATTTCTGTTATATTCAGCAGTTACTCTACAGAGCAGCACAGGCGTTTATCTAAAAGTGTAAAGGTGATGGCTGACATTCGCCATATTTTCGCTCTGGTTTTGGTCTCTATCAGCCTCTAAGGAAGTAT